TCGTGAGTTAGATTAGCGTATGTTAAAGATGGCGAGATCAAGGCAGACTTGTGCTAAAGTGCGTGCATTATATTTACAGATATTTCTCGTTCTTTGGCAATTTACCGCAACAGATAAGAAGTCACGAGAAAATTATAATAAAAATGCAGGCAATCATCATTGTTTTCAAAAGATATCTGTTAAATAAAATTTTTTTGCTTTCTGCTAACGTATAAAAAGTATACGGAATTATTTCACATTTTTATCTTATTTTGTTCCATCGTCCGAGTTAGATAAAGGGACACATTTCTTACGTAGAATCGAATTTCACATTCTCTTCAAACTTTTATATGTATGGTCTTGCGTACACTAAATTTGTTCATGAATTCGCACGCGTTTGGCACGACATTGGTATTATATGGACGGTTACAAGCTTTCTTGCCTGTTCAATATTTTATGTCATGCATCGCGGTTATAATGGTAGAACGTCTGTGCTGATAGGAGGGGTTCTGCTGTTTAATTGGAGCTGTTATGTAGAACGAGATCAATTCAATTTGCTTGGAGTGATTTTATTATCACGTGAATGATCGACGAGCGTATTAGCCCTACATAAAAGTACTTTATTTTCACTCTCCCATTTTTTACTTTAGGATTTTCGTAAGCTTTGGTAATCTCTTGCAATGGATTTAGTCCTTATATTTGGTTATGTACCTGGTTTAGAGTGCAGATTTTTTGTGCTACTCATTATCATCTGCTGTTTCGACTCAATGATTGCAAATAAGGATACCATGTCCGCTGTACCTGTTGACAGTGCTATAAAAATACGTATTAGTGACGTCAACGACGGGAATCTCTGCTGACTTATAACACTTCTGCTGTGGCAGCAACGAAAGACACGCTCAAATTTATTTATTTCAGCTTTCCATTTACAGGAAATTCTCAAATTTCATGAATAATGATTGATCTGCAGAAAAGCTGATAGTTTTACGGATGTCAACATACCAATGCCTCGCAGAGCGTTTGGATAATTTTTCCTGTAAAGAATATGGTGAATGTTTGATGTTTTCCCTTGGTCTGTTTCTTCATCGTTTGCCCGACGATAATGTTAAGTCTGCTGTTGGCATTTTACCATCGCGTATCCGGTACAGACTAGAAACAACTTCTCCTTTCGCTGCCAACGATGAAACCGACTATTTTTTGTTGTCCTGAGAAATATGTAACTCTTAGCGCGACAAATTCTTATTCATAACAAACTTACAAATTTCACCTGAAATTCCATCACTCAGTTATGATGATTGAAAATAATTGGAATATATTTTTTGTCTGACTGCCAATCGTGGCGGCACGTCTCTTATTTTTAGCGCATTTTCTCATTTATGGAAAAAATGCAATATTGTGCTCGCCATGTCCGTCCGTCCGTCTGTCTGTCTGTCTGTCCGTCCGTCTGTCCGTGACCTCAAGTTTTCGTCGACGAGAAAATGCGCTCTGTCACTCACTGCAGTGAGTACTGAGTTATATTTTTTATTAAACCTTCAGCTTACTTGAAAAAGCCTTCAAGTATCAACGACAACACCGCTTTCCCTGAGGCATTTGTTGTTGTTTCCGTTAATCGATTTCTTGTTTTCTGTTTTGGAATTGAGGTTTTACGCACAAAATGTCACGCTGTGAACTCGACCAGAATGCTTGCGTATATGTAAGAGAAATTCAAACGAAGCTGCTCTGCGAAATGCGTCGCAAAAGTGGCACAAATGCGAAGCCAAGGAGGGAAAAACGAATCACAAGGCGGCAGACCTTCATGGCCGGAAGAAATTGCGTTTTATGTTACGTTGTTGACGAATTATCTAGGTTTATACGTACTATTTAAATTTTTATACGTAATATGTAAAACTTTTTAAGAAAACAGTGAGAGGTTCGTTTAAATTTTAAATTAACCTCGTACTCTTTTTCTAAAAAGTAAATTTTCGTGTTTGTAAAATCGTGATTTATTTCAACTTGAGCGTCAAAATCTTAAGATGCTTCATCAATTATGCCTAGTTTGTAATTTACTGATAATTTCAGCCATTAAGTAAGAGAACACTTAATCAAGACGCCTGCTAATTAGTGATTGATTCATTCGCATGACAAATGTTGAGTCTTTCTCTAAGGGAGAGCTACATTTTGACGACTGCTAACTAGAGATTGATTTAAGTGCCATTTAAAGGACCATGGATGAACGGATGAACGTCTCGTGGCAGCGCCGGATGATGAAGTGAGGCTAGTCGGTGCGAGGTTTGCACTTGGCAGCGCAACCATGCATGCTTCATTAATCGTCCGTCACGCTACAACTAATTAATTAAACTTAATCTTTTGGCTCTCGTTTAAATTGAAACGGAACAAAATTTCCTGTACACTCGGATGCTCTTTTCACTGCTCAAAATCCTGTTCATAAATATTTTTGAATGAAAAATCAATTACAGCGCTTCGATTTGCCCTATTCATTACGTGTCTCGTCGTTCCAAATCGGGGTCATGTTTGTTGCACCGCTTGAAATTGTCAATCGCTAGGTTTATATGTTGCCTTCTCGTTCCCTCGTTACTCTTGCCGTGCCCGCAGTACCTTGCTGTGCTCAACGCAGCGCAGTGTTGCTGTGCTCATCTGTGCTCAACGAGGCACAGTGTTGCTGTGCTCAACGCAGCGCAGTGTTGCTGTGCTCATTTGTGCTCAACGCAGCGCAGTGTTGCTGTGCTCATTTGTGCTCAACGCAGCGCAGTGTTGCTGTGCTCGTTTGTGCTCAACGCAGCGCAGTGTTGCTGTGCTCGTTTGTGCTCAACGCAGCGCAGTGTTGCTGTGCTCGACGCAGCGCAGTGTTGCTGTGCTCGACGCAGCGCAGTGTTGCTGTGCTCATCTGCGCTCAACGCAGCCCAGTGTTGTTAGCTGTACGCTGCACAGCCACGGCGCTGTGCCATATCTCGCGGTGCTCTACTTTACCCTACACTCACCGCAGGCGCTGCACGTACGTCTCTAACTCACGATGCTCACTCAGAAGGCATCTGACGTTGAAATAACGTTGACTAAACCTTGTTTTCAATGAAATCAACTCGAAATCAACGATTTGTAACGGATTAGCCTGGAGGGAAGGTATCGTTTGTTGTGACCAAGGCAAGCATGCCTGGACTGATGTTAATGTGATACTCCTGCTCCTTATTATGCTCTACACTGAGTTTTTTTTTAAATATCGAATTTTAATGGATAATACTGAATGGTATAAACCTGGCGCACGCTTTCAGATATACTTTTTGTATGTTATTATATAGATTATTTGCTGGAAATAATTTGTTAAAAGTCTGGTAAAAAGGTTTGTATTGTAGCCTTTTTAATGTGATTATTTCAGGTGCTCGATTATTAATTGTGCTTTAATCTGTTACATTTATTGATGTGATGTTCAAATAATTCAACCACAGATTGAGTATTTAAATGTCTTATTGTCTAGATTATTATAGGTTAATGTTGCTAAAAATGTTAGCTGAAAATCATTAATTAATTCATTAATCTGGGCCCAGATGCTTACCGCAACATCGGCAACGTGAGCTTCAGTGATGTTACATCACTGAAGCTCCACAAACATCGCTAACAGCGTTCGTATCCTCGCTTACATTCAAGCTCATCACTTTTTACACTTATTCATGCTGCGAAATTTTCGATACCAGTATATTTAATTTGTTGCTATGTGAGAATTATTCTTTTGGTGTTGGAACGTTGTGTTTGGGGTGCATTGCGGCAGTGTTGGGATGGCGGGATGCAGGGGCAAGATGCTGGTCTGGTCTAGACGTCAGTGTGTCGTCAGCTGTGACATGGGGATGTTGTGTGTCGTTGAGGCTCCCGTCGCGCTCCGCTCCTAGACTTCACCTTCTGGGTGTGTATGACCTGTTTTATTTTTCGACACTGGAAGAAATTTAATATTGCATATTGTTGCAAATCCTTTCACGATATGCAATCTGGGTGTCACGAGCACCCAGTCTCATATCATTGAGTCTCACTCTTATTAGATTTGCATTTGTCATTTTTGCCTTCAATTTTTTTATTTTCCTCCCTCTTAACTGCGATTTAATTTACACATTGATCTTATATCATTTATATTGATTTTCTGGTCGATTCAGAGATTTGTGCAATGCATTTGTTTAATTTATTTTAGAATCGTGACTCAGGTCAATGCTGTACAATGGACCTGCGTTGTATTGACAATATTTGATACCTGAATTATTTCAGATGTGTTAATTTCGATCTCTCAGTCGCTTTAAACTACTCTGGTTTTAAGGCTATGGTTTGATATTACTAGGTATCACTTTGTGTCCGTGCATCGCAGTGGGTCGTGATGCTGTTATGATTATTTCGATACAGAAAGATAGTTAAATGCTGGTTTATATTTCCGTAGAGTTTCAGGTTGGCGTTCAATCGCCCACATATTGACCATGTCCATTAATTATTTTTGGTTGCTAATTGATTTGATGATCTTCTTCATTATGTTTCAGAACACATTTAAAGAAATTTTCCGGCCTGAGAGCCCTTTGTAATTTTTAGTTGCGAATCGCATCTTTTGCATACATAGTACCAAAGGAAAAATCTAATTATTGTTTAATTTAAATTATATTCAAGATTTAGTGGAAATACTTATTACGAGTACTTTTTAGACATTTACACAGACCATAGTCTATGTTCAAATATATACTATGTTGGTGTTCAACGGTAGAGGCTCGGTTGTGGCCTTATGAAAGACTGAGTGTTGGTGCACTCAAAGAAATGTGTGAGGCTTTGTGCAAATAGCGATGCTATTTTTGCTCTTGTGTGGACCATCCTGATCGACCCAATTTGGCCCGGCAAAATGGCCTATTTTGTTAGGTTCGCTCTCTGCACGTGCAGTGGGAAAAAAGTGTGTCACTATTTCAACAATATGACTCATTAATTTATTGAAAAATTTAAAATAATAATAACAAAAAATAAGAATAGTGAAATAATAAAATTGAAATTAAACTATATAGATTTATTGAAATTCTCGTGTACTTGTGCGTAAGTAACTTTAGTTTGCGGCGATGGTGGCGCCAGGAAGAAAAGCAACTGCTGACCAGCAAAATATCTCGGATGTCCCGCTGTCTCTGGCCTTGAACTCTCCAGAGATCGGCTGCATGAAACGCGATGCAGATCACTCATGGAGCTCTGATCAATGCATGAAACAAGATCGCTTTCCTGGAGAGCTTTCGGAGGCGAGTAGATGAAAGTTGATGCAATTTAACATCTTGAAAATTAAAATTGATGTAGGTTGAGAAAAGAAATAAATTAAGTGACATAATCGCGTTTTGAGGAGATAATTTTGTAGAAGGGTGGATATTTTACAGCTTTTGCCATCATATGTAATGGTTATGAAACGTAATATAACAATACTAATAATAATATTTATATATAACTGACGTATTAATACTGATTCTAAGTATGTACGAACTGTGTTGCAAGAAGCGTGTTATTATTATTTTGACATTATTACCTATTCATTCTTCTGAGTAAGACGATGTAATTACAGCCCAGCACTCCAGACATCATCGGTGATGCCTCATCATCTTGTGATGCGGTGGCGGCTGCAGGAGTGGAGATGCAGGAGTACTCTGCCATGCAGGCTCTCGATGTCGCCCTTAAGCTTCTGATGGAGGCGACGCTGGAGACGGAGTTTGTGAAGGCTTGCTCTGATATACGAACTCTGCTGAGCTGCGGGGGTGAGTTGCCGGGAACTCAAGATTATTACGAGTTTATTTGAGATTCTCAGAAATATTTATGATAGACACTGTCTTCTCAATGGAAGAAACCAGGTTTTTATAATTTTTGTGTTGCTAAAGTACGTCATATCTGCAGTACAGAGAACTCCTTTGGTTGCTAGCGTACAGTCACTTATACAGTAGTTTTCTAATGATGAAACTGGTTCACAATGGACCATATAGATTCCTAAATATAAGTTATATCAGTCTAGCTACGGTATGTTGTGAACTCGATGGACCATGTTGTCGTCATTGTGACGCAGATGACGAAGGTAGCGCAGATGACGAAGGTAACGCAGATGACGAAGGTAACGCAGATTACGAAGGTAACGCAGATGACGAAGGTAGCGCAGATGACGAAGGTAACGCAGATGACGAAGGTAACGCAGATGACGAAGGTAACGCAGATGACGAAGGTAACGCAGATGACGAAGGTAACGCAGATGACGAAGGTAACGCAGATGACGAAGATAACGCAGATGACGAAGGTAACGCAGATGACGAAGATAACGC